TCATTGTAGTAGTGTTGGTAAGTTTTTAGACTTGTTGCAACACCACAACCATTCTTAGGCAGATGCTAGTCACTCCTCGGAAAATATAGTTGATCAGGCTATATCCTCCCAGATTTGACTATATGTCTCTAAGCCTAATTGTGTTGTTCAACAATCGTAGTATTCTTGTTTTGTCCTAGTGACACTGATTTTAGTATGAATGCAGGCATGTATACTTAGTTAGATATTTTATTATTTAAAAGTATATACTCTTGGTCAGAGTATTTTAATCCCATTGTGTTTATAGTTAGTATATCTTTTATAGGTTGATATACTAGATTCACTATAAACGATGCTCTAATACCAATCCATCACACCCTAAAACCGAGAATGGCAGAAATGTTCTTAGGAGGACGTCATGTATAGTATCACAACACAATATAATAGTAAACAAGTGAACAACATCATCCATTGCATTAAATATATAATTTTAATACAATTGTGTTTTGTAGTATATAAGACACCAAAATATGAATCAAAATATAGGATGAGTCTTGTATGCGCTCCATCTTCTCAAAAGCTGGCATCGGTACCTGTCTACTGATGACCTGGGAATATAAGTTATTTTGAAAGAGTTTATCAGCATTAAAGCTGGTGAGTTCATAAGTATTTAGTGTCTATGGTTGTATCAAAATGTTTGAAACAATGTTTGATGTATGAGTTTGTAAACATTTATAGTAAAAGTATGTGAATGCTTTGAAGTGTTTGTAAAAGTTTATAACTCTTAGAAAATTCTATATTTTCTACTAAAAGTAGCCTTCTACCAAGGCACAACTGTTTTGTATGTTTGTTTCTTGTAAAAGTGTGTAATTTTCCCAAATGTAACTATCGTTATCAAAATATAGTTTGTACATTAATGTTTAAGTGAAATGATCACCAAATAAATGTAAAGGGTGAATTAATGTAGTACTGTAGTTTTGTATTATAGGAACTACTACTGTACTAACTACCTTAAACCGGATCTATATCAAGGTATTATGTGATTAATTGTACCATACTATCGATTGTGAAAACACGACAATGTAAGTCGTCAAAAGGTATGACATTTGGCACCCGAAGACCTGTCAGTCCCACTGTAGCTAGCAGTAAGGTGTAGGATAGTCAATCCATTATAGATCTATACGTAAACTCACGTTATCCCTCTAGGAGATTCTGGTTACAACTTAGGCCATGAAAATGCAGGCATGCTCCGATAGAGTGGATCACATTTATGTTATCGTATACTTGTATATGTAATTTATGTACTTGCGTAATGAATGTATTGTTTCTCATTATAGTATAGTTGTATATGTTCTCATAGTAGTAAGTAATGACTCATGAATGAACTGACTCTTGTATGCTTCATTGGACTAGAAGTAGTAAGTAATATAACCCTAAACTATACCTATTATAGTTTATTGGTAGACTTGTTTGTATAACTGAATGTACTGAATTGAGATAAAAATCTTTATATCTATACATATATACATAATATATAAGTAAGGATTCAACGACCCTCGTACAAACAACCGGGTACTTTTAGTCCACAACCAAACAAGGAATAGGAAGTAAAGTGGGTTATCTCTCCTAAGTCCTTCAAACCTTATTTATATAACTATATATGTAGTAGACATGGTTTTGACAATATATAAGTTTGAAAACTGTAAAAGAAAGGTTTAGTATACAAAAGTGCATTTGATAAAGAGTTTGACATGTAAAATAGTTTGATAAACAGTTTGAAGTCATTTGTTCAGTAAAACAGTTTAAAGTATGAAAAATCCATTTGTGTGCTAGTTATTAATCACATGTGATTGATATAATAACTAACATGGTTCAACTTGTATCCCCCCATAAAGCATTCCAAAACATTTAAAAACATTTAAAAGGTTAATTAAGGGGTATGAACTCACCTGTAGTGAGTGATGCGACGGTAGGATCAGTTTAGGAGGTTGAGTGTTAATCTTGAACTTGAGCACAAACGAATCCTATTAACCAGATAACTACATATGTATGTATACAATTAGTGTTTCTAACAACTAATTATTGAATTGAGACCACCTTAGGGACTAGTATACACTTCTTTTGAAGTGTTACAATCATATATGATCGTATATAAGGGGTGTATGGCTATACAAGGGAGTGTATGGTCAAAATACACCATATTGGTGTGTGTGCGGCCAGGGTGTGCGGAAAGGGTGTGTGTGCGGCTTCACATTCCACATAAAGTGTGTAAAAACGTATTTTGAGGTCTTAGAACTCATCTAGGAAGGTTTCTCACTTCATGTTCTAGCCATATAAGGAGTTTGTTGCTATTTTAGGACCATAGAGGGGTGTGTATGGTTGCACATGGTGTGTGCGGCCATACACTTGGTGTGTACGGCCGTATACACTTGAAGATCATGGGAAATGACGTTTTACAAGTATATCTTCAAGTGTTCTTGGCCTAAAACAAGTTATAACAAGTATATACATGTCATAGAGGCTAGAAAAGGGTGTTTTAGGGTCCAAAACTTAGTGTGTGTTCTTGGTGTTCTTGAAGATCTAACACCAAAAACATGATTTCATGGATCAAAGTAAGGAAGAAGGCTAGTTAAGTTCAAGTATCAACAAATCAAAGGAAGTATTATTTACTTTTTTTTGAGGAACAAGATGAAGATGTGGATGATACTTGAGAGAAAACGTGTTCCAGCTTTGAAGGAGTGGGAAAAGGGTTCAAAAATGACTAAGGTTGACTTATATAGGTAGGAGTGTGTAGCTAGGGGGTGTGCGGTCGGCTGTGTGCGGCTGGCTGGCCGCACACTCGGGTGTGTGGCCGCACACACCTTGCTCGATGTGTTTGGCCTGTTTTTGCGATGCTACACACATTCTAACCCTTCCTAAGACTCATATCTTGATTATACTAAGCCTAATACACTTATATCACTACTAGAAAAACAGCCTTTTACAACGCTCATTGCGCGTCGTAAAAGGCTCAGACGACGCACAAATGCGCGTCAAGGAAGGCCCTGTCATAAAGAGAGACGACACGCTTTTGCGCGTCGTCTATAGACGACGCGCATTTACGACGCTCATTTACGACGCGCAATTACGAAGCGCGTTTACGACACGCAATGCGTATCAAGGAAGGCCATGTCATAAAGAAAGACGACACGCATTCGCGTGTCGTAACCTTACGACGCGCGTGTTAATGACACGCAATGCGTATCAAGAAAGCTCCTGTCAAGAAAGGCCATGTCATAAATGAAGATGACACACATTTTTGCGTATCATAATTTTAAATGTTTAAAAAAACATTATTTATATAGATTTACTAATTTTCAAATTAAATTTGTATTTAATGTCTCATAATAGAAATAAAATACCATATACAAAAAATACAATCCATTGCATAAAGTTTAATGTCATATAATTCTATTTCTTACTATATATAAATTTGCGTTCATCTAATCTACTTCGTGTTTCATACTAACAGTTGGAATGAAGAATGCAACACTTGCATTTGCAACATCTTATCTCTTTCAGCTTGAGCTTTCTTTTCCTCTTCTAACTCCAGAGGTATTCGCTTTCATCATCAACCTTGCAATCATGTCAGTTGTACAATATCAATATCAACTAATTAATAATGCACATGGTATGTATGTATGAGAGTGGAATCAAAATGATCTACCAATAAGTGTTTTGTACTGCCTTGAATCAAAGTATTTTTGGTGGCTTCAAGTACAGCTCCCAAAGGATACTCCTTCATACACCCACCTGCATATATGCAAATATACATGTACAATATTGAGTATGTTATGGGAAAATTGCTGAAAATAGCAACATACTTTCAATAATGGTAAAGGGGTAAAATATTAATTTGTGGAGTATATTATGGGGCATTGTGATTTTATATATACCTAAACTATCATCATCTTTAATTACAACTTGTTTAATTGGTTGAAATGTGTAATTTATGTCAAGTGTTTAAATTAATAAAAAAAATACTCTATATAAATTAGTAAATATATAAAACAATCTTATATGAATTGACAAAAAAAATGAATCTTTATCTTTTATCGAAAACTTTAAGTGATGTCCTGAAACGAGATAATCGATTATTGAGTATAATAGTAAATATTTTGGTCTTTAAGTAATATATGATTATACATTTCGTCTAAGTTGCCGTTTTTTACATAAATTATAAAAATAAAATAAAGATTAAATAAACAAACATTAATTTGAAAAGAGAAAATATACCCATGAAAAAGAAAAAAGGAAACACATGCTTGAGTGGGTGTCCAAAAGAGAGGAACATTTGTCACCTGAAACCAAACCCCTTTTCCACACCAATAGCAAATGGCAAAGTGGAAGGGTAAACTTATATCTCTATTCCATGATAAAAAAAAAACAGCCACATGGAAATCTGAAAAAAGATAAAACCATAAATAAAAATAAACCCAATCAGGCACAAGACTTTTGGAGCAGTAGCACATATGAAATGGACAACAATGATTAAAAAAAAAAAGAGTTTTGGTATTAGGTTGAAAAAGTATGAAGTTCTTCTAGACGATAAACCAAAAGAATCCACTAAATAAACTTCTATATAATAAAAGAAGTAAAATTAATTATACCCTGTCATTTGGAGCTGCTGCATACCCATAATGAAGAATGGAGGAGTGCAACAACTAGAAGAAGAAAAAGAACAGAAATAGCTCTTATTCATGAAAAAAAACATTTGTACCCTTTGGTATCTTTTAGAAATCAACAGAAGAGTGCAACAACACTTACAATAAGAAATCAACATCAATTGCAGCAACAATTGCAGGAATCAGATTACACTGTAATGCTTGATTCCATTCCCTCTTTGATTACTGCATACCAAACACACTACCTTATTTAAAGTAACTATGACAGACTCATCACTTCACTCGGTAAAAATTGTACACAAAACCAAAAAGCTCTCTTACTTCATCTGAATTGTCTTCTAAATCAGACGCATCACTTCACTTGGCTTTCTTGGTGGCTGCAGCAGCACCATTCTTGGCAACAGCAGCTGGCTTTTTTGGTGCCTCCTAAATTACATAGAAGAATACTTAGAAAAGTGGAGAACATGTATCATGTAGAGAATGCTGCTAAAAAGTGACAAAATTAATGTGAAATTAGACAAACTGTATCCAAGTGCCAAGAGATTTACACTCTGACTCACTTCTTCATCTGATGAATCACTATCATCTGATGATTCAGATTCAAATTCAGATTCATCTGAACTACTTACAGGTTTACTAACAGGTTTTTTATTTGATCCAATTTTAGCTGTAGGAGCGGACTGTTTCTTAGGTTTAGGTTCCTGCAACATGTTAAAAAGGCTTGTAGAAGGGTGAAGAATAAAATAAACGATTTTTTTACAACATGTGATAATGACTTCATATTCAACTTCCCTTAGCTGATCAATGGCCTCTGAGATCTCTTCTTTTAAGTTCTAATTCAGACAAACATAATAGGAGAGAAAATAGACAGCATTAAAAAAAATCTAAAATAGTTCAAATTTTTAATAAAAACCTACCATTTATCACCCCAAGTTATGCATGAAGGTTAGAAACTTGTCTATCTCTTGTCTGTTGTGGAGCTTTTAGATCACCTATGCATTCAAGATTCTTTTGGTGTCCAAAAATCAGATCACCTATGTACGTATCTCAAATAGAAACCTACTTTCATATCTTTTTATTATTTTTTTCTTAAGTATAAAACGTATGAATCAAAAGCACATGGAATAAGTTATCTCACCGCACAATGTACGACAACAGGTGCCCATTGACTTTCAACACCTAACATTAGTATATGTTCCAAAACATTTCCCTACAAATAATAGATGAAAAGAAACTGAGTCGTGATGATGCATAAAGTCTAGAGTTTTATATTTATGAAAATAAATAGAAGATTTAAAAAAACACAAGTTTTTTATGCAAATAAACAAAAAAAATGAATTGTTAAAACTTAAAAGATAGGGATATAAAACCTACCTCATTCCAGTCCAAACAGTCGATAGCTTTGACACATTGATTTTCCTCATTTAACCTTTTTTTAGCATTCCTAAAAGCTCGCATCATCACCATTGGTTCCCAACTAAGTCCACATGTCTTTTTTAGGACATTTTTAACCACAACTGGTTAGCCTCTTCTCCAATGCATTTGAAAATGTTCAAAATCTTTGTCTTCTAAGTCAATAGCATCAGGGCAATATAGTAAATTGTTGTCATTACTACTACTACTACCCTCCCTAGAAGCCAATTTCCTTACACCACGTCTATGATGATGATGATTTTCCACACCAATGGCAAATGGCAAAGTGGAAGGGTAAACTTATATCTCTATTCCATGATAAAAAAAACAGCCACATGGAAATCTGAAAAAAGATAAAACCATAAATAAAAATAAACCCAATCTAGCACAAGACTTTTGGAGCAGTAGCACATATGAAATGGACAGCAACGATAAAAAAAAAAAAAAAAAAAAAAAAGACTTTTGGTGTTGGGTTGAAAAATTATGAAGTTCTTATGGATGATAAACCAAAAGAGTTTTGGCGTGGTGTAGAAATATGCTTTTCCATCTGATACTCTTCATTTCTGGTTTCATTTTCCTCATTACCTACTCCAAAAGTAGTTACTTAATATCACCAAAAGATGAAATCACCATATACAAGCAACTTATAATGTTATAATATGCACTGAGAAATTAAAGATTATTTAGTAATGAGCTAATTTCAGTTTAGTCATTACATAGTGGAATGATAATGATATATACCTCAATGTGAGCTTCAGAACTTATACCATTGGCATATTGGATCACAGAAAGCTCCAATTTTGACTTCAAAACACGGCATTCAGTCAAACTAGGGTGCATGGTCTTAAGATCTGTCTCAAATTTCTCAATCTCCTGAAGTAGTAAAAAATACAAATATAGTATCACTTACTAAAGTAGCAAAAATAACATATTATTCACACTAACTGTGTATACTTCCTGCAATTTATAGATTGTTTTTGGTATGCTACAACTTAACTTATTTTTTAAGAAATTTAATATTTTATATGGAATTTTCAAATGCTACTTACTTCTTTTTTAAGAAATTTAATATTTTATATGGAATTTTTCTATCAGGTATAGACTAGGAAATAACATACAAAATTGACCCAGTGATATCAAATTTTGACTTGTGCTAATGAGCAGGAGGAGCCCTTGGAGCAGATTTCTCAGCCATTCCCACACTAATTTTGTAACCTCTCAATTCATAATCTGATCAAACATTAAAAAAAAAAAAACTAAATTATACAAACCCATAAAATAATTTATATAGTTGAGAAAAGAAGGTACTTTGGTTGTAGAATCCCCCAGCAGAATGTGCTGCAGAAGAATCCCATCAGAATGTGATGCAAGAAGGGACCCGAATTTAGGGTAGGCCCATGCAACCTGCCAGACTGGACCATTGTGACATGTCAATGTGGTAAGGGGGGTGTGAGGTGGCGGTGCTGATGGTGGTGGTGACACTGATTATCTTGATTGTGGCATCAAAGGAGGTGGATGCTACTCGTTTTCCATAGTAATCCATACAAACATCATGGATTATGTATGTATGACCTGTTTCAATCTTCTACCCAGGCATGATCTGTTGAATTTGAAGAAGATTTGCATCAGTGGATATGAAAACAAATTGAAGAATTCATATAATCATTAAGTTTGATAGAAGAATAGGTTTAGTGTTATGAAGAAATTGAATGTTCCAAATCTGCTCAAGGATATGGTTGAGAGAAGAGTGTAAACGTAATCATCAAAATTTTCCCCAATTCAAAATTTTAAAAAATGCATTTATAATCAGGACGCTGTTCTTCCCCAATTTCTAAGAATTCATATGCTGCTACACAATTATATACGAAACAAAACTTCTAATCTATGAAATTTCATACCGAGGCAATTAAACATTTCTCAATATAAGCCCTAATTATAGATCTCTATTCAAATTCTCCCCTTAGATTGGAAGATCAATATCAAGATCGCCAATTTGGCAAAAGAAATAAAATAGAAGTGTCATATAAAGAAAATTTTCATCAATGATGCTTATGTTTGAACCATTCATCAGTCTCGTATGTTTTGGTTCCCAAATCAGAAAAATCCCCTTTACAAATAAATAGACTAAAGAAGGAGCACCAGATTTTCGCATCTAACTAAACTATAAACACTGAACTTCAAATAATACCGATTTTATAAATATTTAATAATGGAATAATGTTAATCCTCTGTACAAGAAGTATATATGTAGAAGTAGAATAGAAAAGAAACAAAGAAGGGGCGAGGAGAGGAGATGACCTAAAATCAGAATCTGCAATTGAAAAAGGCAACAAGCATGACGAGAGGCGCTTGTTGTTCAGAACATGTTCATAGTTATAAACTCTGTAATGGAACTATAAATGGTGAAATGAGATCGAGAGGCACTTGTTCGGCCTTAAGATGTCAAGGATATCAGTTGCCTTCTCTAAGAAGTTGGTCCAAAGCCACTCGTACCTCCTCCTCCGAGTTCTGTACCAGAATATACACACAGGCCATTGACTTGAAATTAGGTTTTTGCTCCCGTCGACAGTCATAGAGCGCCGGAATCTGATTGTCGTCGGAATGTTATATAAGGATTTCGCAAGGTTTAACAGTGAAGATGGGGTGAGAGAGCTACAAATGGTAATGGTGGATGAAGTGTTGGTCGATAAGGCATGTACATCGTCGGCGTGCGATGCCTAAAGATTCGGTGTGGGTTGGAGGTGGGTATGAGGCAGGGTTTTAGGGGTTCGTTTAATCGAAGAGGATTTTAAGAATTTCAAAAATATGAAAATATCGATTGAGGTCAAAAATATGATTTCAGGAACCTCACAACTAAAAATCGCATATCATAATCCACACAATGCTTTTAGGGTTTCTTTTGATTGAAGAGAATTTCACAACATACGAAGAAGAAGGAGAGTATCAGGCGGGGGTTTTCAATTTTTTGGTAGTTCTCCATGGTTGACTTACTGAAGATGGTGAAGCGGATCGGAGAAGATGGAGAAGGAGGGAGAGGGGAGAATCGATTGCGGAGAGCCGAAGATGAAAGAAGAAAGAAGGTAGAAAAGCGGGTTTTCAAAATTTTGGGGATTTCGTTTCTCCCGTATCTACTAAACACGCTTTTCTTTAAAATTATAAAGCGACACTTATAGAGGGCGCGCATTTTTAGATAAAGTGCCCTCCGTGTTTTTAATTTTTTTACATTAGACACTAATTTAAGGGCACACAATAATGCGTGATCTAAATCCTTAAATTTTTTAAAGAGATGACATTTTTTTTAATGTCACTCTCTTTTGCGTAACATAAATCAATGAGTGTCGTGGTTTGCGCGTCGTTAAAGGGTCTTTTTCTTGTAGTGTATAAACCCAAAACTACATTGTAAAATTGCAAAACGAGACTAAATTTGATAAGATGAAGGATGTAAAAGTTAGAAATTTCGGGTTGTCACATCATCCCCCCGTTAGAGGTAAAATTGATATAAAAGAAATATATAGTTGAGAGAAAGTTACGTATTTTGTAGGTATAATTGATATAAATTGAGTGTATTTACAGTATACATAAAACTTGGTTTTTTTAATAGGTTACCATTTTTAAATGGTCAAAATTATAACCATTTGAAAAAAATGTAAAAAATGGCGTTACCTCCCGTGTTCACCATAACACGTTATCACATAATACCTAATAACGGCTAGGGGGTGTTCCTCATGTTATGGCGCTGTTATTAGGCTGCCACATGGGCATAATGCACTTCCCCGTTGCCCATACCCATAAGTCTAAGGGTGACTTTTATTGCTGGACTTTTTGACTTTTTGTCTTTGGATAATGGGTTGAAAAGGTAACCAATTATATATATTTTAAATATTTGATCATTTAATTTTTTTTGATGCACTGTTAACCATTAAGCTTGTTTTTTTTATTTAAATCATATCGTTATTACCTGCAATAGCAGGTAAAACCTGTTTTGGGAAGTTTGAGTTCCACCTACGACGACATTTCCTGCGTCCCTTACCTCCGACGACATTTCCGGAAAAATATTATTTTTCGATCAACCTTAGTGCATTCCCTTTGACTGTGCGGACACCACCTCCTTGATCACCTTCATCCATCCACCAACAAGTGAATTATTGTCGCTAATTGACTGAATTTGATATATTATCTTTCAATTACTCATCAGCCAAAGCATGAATCTCAAGAATCGTGCTTCTTCATACAGTAAGCATGTCTGCCAGCCCTGATTCCAAATGACATGCCTTCGAAATCCTACACCAAATTTACCCTTTCTTGTTCTAATTTCTAAATGTCCATGAGTGATTTAGACTGTTAGGGCTAGTTGGCGATCCTTTCTGAGCATTGATTCCTTTTGTGGTTTTGGCTGAAATTCAATATGTATATGGGTTCTATGTTACCAGTGAATCTTGATTAGATGAACCTATACCATTTTATCTTCATTGATTTGATTCTTGGTCCCCTAAACCAATAATCCATTATAACATGTATACAAGAAAGGTAAATCTGCCTTCTTCTCTCAAAATCGATTGCAGATTCCTCTCTTTCCTCTATTCGACTTGCTGGTTTAATGGAAGATGTAGAAGGATTCGTGAGTTTGATGGGGTTCATGGAGAAAATGAGAATTAATCTTTCTTTTTCGATTTGCAAGTGTGATTATATTACAACGAACTAGTGGTGGTTTTAGTGGGTTATGGCGGGGTAATTGGAGGTGGTTGACGGTGGTTTTAGGCAGGAATCTGAAAAATGGTGTTCTTGAGCAAAAAAATCTTTGAACTTCAATTCTAAAAAATGATGTTCTTGAGTAGTTCTTAAAACGATTTTTCAGAACTCGTAAACCCTAGAACTCGATCTTGAAATAAAGCAGCCTAGAAATCATAAACCCACTGAAATGTTGTGTACCTAAAATCGTATCAAACTTTGCGTGTTGTTTATGGAGATTTAATCAAGTTTTCGATTAAATCCAAGTAAAAAAGAGGTATCACCGAAAAATCGTGTTTGACCGGAGAATCATGATTGGTCGGAAACAATACCGGAAACCGGTAAAACTCATTATTACCGGTAACATTGGTATAATGTACACGTTTCAACAAGTTCAATGGTTAATAAAACATAAAAACTAATTTAGTGACAAAATAAGATCAAAATATAAAATACATTACCTTTTCAAGTCATTATCATTTTTCTTTTGTTTTAAGTTTTTATAATTCTGAAAAAGAGTAAAAACTTTTTGATAAATAAAATGATTTTATTTTTCTAATTTGATATCATTATAACTCTAAAGTTGTATGCGTGTCACTTATACATGTTTACAATGTACATGCATACACATACGCATGTACAATATTTTTGGCAACATTTATATATGTTTTTAGCTTTAATTAGTTTTTCCAACATAACTTTTTTTTTTTTTTTTACAAAATTTCGTATTATTATAGTAAAGGAGTGTCAAAAATTGTATGGACCATAAAATGATTTTATTTTTCTAATTTGATGTTGAGTCAAGATTGATATATAATTCCCTCTCCTACTATGTGACTTTCCTCTAATTTGATGTTCATATTTTATACAAATTTTGTACAATGTTATTAGTTTTAGTTGGAGTTCAAGAAAACCATAACATAGTTGGACTAGAAGATACCGATTGAGTTTAAAAATTATATAAAAAAAAATAATGTTAATTCAAGAAACCAAAACTTGTATGGACCATATGGTAACTTCGTCCACAACGCTTGTGCCAAAACAGCTTTTCGGTATTAATAAGACATTAATTTAATATTTATATATCACTAAAAAAAAACGTTGCTAGTTCCTGTAGTCGGCCACTTCCAAAATTAAAAACATTATATAGAAGGAACAATATACAAATCATTCTAATAAGAACAATTAAATATTTTATTAGTTTTTCTTCCTATACATCGTTCTATTATTTTTAGATAATAAATGTAATAAAAATTTATTAATTTTATTAATTATAATAAATATCATAATTTTAAATGCCTAGAAAAATTATAAGAAACAAGAATAGAAAGCTATTTGATTTCTTAACATAACGTAAAAGTTACTTTATAATAATAATATAATATGACTTTAAAAACAGTATTACTAACCTACGTAAGCCGTATAACGTCACATGCTGGTCTTCTTCCCACAAGATACAAGTTGCAATGCATATGACAGTTGATGTAGGACCAAAGCAGCCAAACACAATATATAGAGTAAAGAAAATCCATAATAACATTTAATACTTTAAATATTATAACCAAACATCCTTAACAACTTTTATTTTTGGTAGATTTTGAGGCCGAAAGTTCAAAATTCAAAAGAAAACAATTAAAATTCATTGTTTTGTTTAAGATATCACATGAGTGGTAAGAAATATATGAAAGCGCATGATAACTCAATAAACGGAGATATATACAAAAATAAGAAGGAAATTGAGTAATAACCTAACGTTTAATGCAATTTTAAGAACCTATATTTTTATTTATTTATTTATTTTCCAAAATAATCATCTACTTCGAAATGGTGCATTATGGAGTGAAGTTATCTGACCCAAGCCATATTGTATCGCGTTTCAGACTGAATGCCTACTACATATGAGATTTTAGAATCCATGTCAAAATATCTTCATTTATCGGACTAAGTATGCAAAGAAGAAATGACATCTGATTCTGATGAGTTTGAGATTTTACGGGTTAGTTATTCGTTTTTTACCTCTACTTGTTGAATTTTTTATTTTAATTGAAAAACTTTAGTCCAGAACATGAAAAGACATGATATTTGATACTTATAATGTATAAATTCTATTTTGTAGCAAAAAAAGGACATTCTCATGGAAAATGACTAAAATTGGACAAAGCTGGGAACTTGGAGGTTGAAGAATGCATTCACGGAGAAAGAAGAGAAGAAAACGGGCTAAAAGAAGATCCCACGTCATGGTCTCTTATATGCCACAACGTGGTAACTGATGGATTTTACATGTATTAATGCAGATAGATCCTTAACACTTAAAGGTACATACAACCTAAAGATCTAAGCCATAACATTATTGATGTAACGTTTTTGATGAGTTTAAAGCAAACTTAAAGATCGATTAGATCTATGAAACAGGTAGATAAATGACTAGATAAACAATTAAGAACAAGCTAATGGATCAAAAGGTGTCGAATGATTTAATAAACAATCCTCAGAAGAGCTCGATAAAGAACATCAACTGTAGAGGATTTTAGGGTTTACAATAATTAATGAGAATGACGACTACTTCTATACGCATACATGCATGTATATATTTATAATAAAACCCTAACCGTTTTTCTAAGAAAAAGAAGGCTAATCTAGATAAACACGGATTGACAAGCCCAATCCGGTTGTAAAACAAAAGGGCCCAAGACGCAACATAATAATCTTCAACAATCTCCCCCTTTGCGTCTTTGGCACAGAATCTTCATTCCCTTTTAACAGCAGAAGGCTTCTTCACCGTCTCAAAAATCCTCGGTATAATAGCCAGAATGTGATGCCTGAAGGTGATATACTACCGAAGCATATCAGTGAAGTTCTTCTTGTCTGCTGTGGAGTTCTGCTTGCATCGGTGAATGATGTTTATAATGTGCTCCAGACAATCTGTTGAAAACAGATGCTTGTCTACCAAAGCAAACAGAAACTTATGCTTGTCGCCTCTTGTGAACATGACCGTTAGATTTGAAGAGTCAATTTGCCCTAACTTCATTTTGTGAACGTCTCCTGTCTTTGAAGTAGGCTTGACGGTCGGTTTCTTGTTCATTATCTTTGCTATTTCCTGATCCATAGTGGCGAGCTCATGGATGTAGGAAGCCAACATTCTTTTGAGATGTTTCAGAATCGGTTCATACTCTCTATGATTGGAGAGAAGAATGTTGTATAGCAGAATCCAATCATGCGAATTCAGACTGGGAAGATCTGCCAGAGAAATAAAATGTTCTGTGTTGGCCGTTCCTCTATTGATTTTGAAGTTAACGTTTACAAATTTCCCAGCCTGTGTTGGTTTCAGTACCTTGACTTTAATTATCTTCTGTGCACTCCATGTCAAGTATTGTGGTTGACCGTACTTCAAATAGAAATCTATTAATTCTCTGTCAACCTTCAAGTTTGGATGAGGGACATCGGCAGTGACATCAA